TGTTAATTCAGTATATAAAATTTTAGCTTAAGTGCTATCTAAAATGCTGAAGAGAGTCTTGCCAGCAATCATTAGTGAAGTTCAAACAGCCTTTCTGGGAGGAAGATTTATTCTCGATGGTGTTTTGATTGCAAATGAAGTAGTGCATTGGTGGAAAGTTGAAAAAATGAGAGGTATCATACTCAAGTTGGATTTCGAAAAGGCATACGATTCAGTTAATTGGGAGTTCCTTTTTTCTATGATTAAGAATTTTGGTTTTGGGGACAAATAGACGGGTTGGATTAAAACATGCCTATCATCATCCAAAGTTTCTGTCCTGGTCAATGGTTCTCCAATAGCAAAATTCACTCCTCATAGAGGACTTAGGCAGGGAGATCCGCTATCTTCTCTTTTGTTCAACATTGTTGCTGAAGGTTTGAACTTATTGATTGAAAGAGCAAAGGAGATGGGGCTAGTTAAAGGAACTTCTGTGGGGCCTAATGAATTGAAATTTTCTCATCTGCAATTTGCAGATGACTCTATAATATTCTGTGAGGCAGACAGAGGGGAACTGGTGTACTTCAAGAGAATTTTGCATTGCTTTGAGGTGTTATCCAACTTAAAGATCAATTTCCTACGTTGTGTGGGGTTAGTATAAGTGATTTTGAGGTTAATCAGTTTACCTCAATTTTTAATTGCCGCATCCAAAGCTGCCTATCAGTTATCTGGGTTTACCTCTTGGGGCTAACCCCAGTAAAAAAAGCACTTGGTAATCTGTTATTGAGAAAGTGAAAAAAAAGTTAGCCGCATGGAAAAGGAAAGTACTGTCTTTTGCTGTTCATTTAACTTTGATTAGGTCAGTTCTTTCTAGTCTGCCTATCTATTTTCTATCAGTTTTCAAAATACCCATGGGAGTGGCTAAGTAGATCGAGAAGATTCATGCAGCATTCTTGTGGGGTAAATCTGAACTCAAGAGGAAAGTCCATATGGTGAAATGGGCGGACTTAGCAGTTGACAGATCATAAGGGGATTTGGGAGTTAGAAAGCTTAGAGAAATCAATGCTTGCCTTTTGATTAAATGGTGGTGGAGGTTTGGAGTAGAGGACAAAGCTTTATGGAAACAGATGTTGAGGTGCAAGTATGGTGTGGTTGGAGGAAGTTGGGTACTTACTGTACCAGAGTCCAATTTAGTGTCAAGATTATGGACAGATGTTGTCCAGCTTGGTGCATTTAGTCCAGAGCTAGTTGAATATTATTTATCTAATCCCAAGCTAGTTGCAGGAAATGGGCAAAGACTCTAATTTTGGGAGGATAAGTGGTTAAATAATCTGTGTCTAATGGAGGAATTTCTTAGGTTATACAGGTTATCTGAGGAGAAGGGTAGCACAATTTTGCAGATGGCTCACAGAAGAGGTTCAGCACATGAGTGGAAGTTTCTTTTTAGAAGAACTCTGTTAGCTTGGGAGGATGAGGAGGTTGTAAGGCTGCAAAGGGTACTTAGGGACGCACCTGTACTCACATTGAAGTAGAGGATTCTTGTTTATGGCTGGCCAATCCATCAGGTTCATACTCTGCGGCTTCAGCATAGAAGTGGTGGGTGTTGTTGAAAGGTCCTGTTGTAGGTGTTGCTGATATGTTATGGAAGAATATTGCCCCACCCAAGGTGAAATTCTATGGCTGGTTAGCTTGGAAACGCAGACTTAGGCCAAGTTTGGGAAGATCCAAAAAAGCCAAAAAGCCAAAAAGTTACTCAAAAAGCTAAAAAGTTAACACTATTCACCAAAAGTCAAGTTAACACTATTCATCAAAAGTCAACAATTACGGCTGCACAACTCTCAATTCAAATTTTTCCCTACAAATCAATTTTTACAATTTTTTATTACACATTTTTCAATAAAAAGTCAAAAAGTTAACCCAAACATCCATATTTTCAACCTCAATTTTTTAGTCCAAAAAGACAAAAAGTGCACTTTTTTAGTCTTCCCAAACTTGGCCTTAAAACTTCAACTTTTTTGAAAAGGATTGGAGTGTTGAATATAGAAGCTAGCTTAGTTTGTTTGCTGTGTAGAACAGAGGAGGAGACAATTAACCATGTGCTGCTGTCATGTTCGGTGGTATGGAAATTGTGAACAGATATGTTGAAAATGTGGGATTTGGTTTGGGTGTTGCCAAGATCAATTGAGGCATTGTTACATTGGTGGGCTAGTTTTAAATTCAAAAAGGCGATCCAACCAATGTGGAAAGTTGTCCCCTTAGTTGTAATGCGGTCAATTTGGAAAACTAGGAATAAGTGCCTTTTTCATGAAAAGAATGTTGATGGGCTTGAATTGGCTAAGTTTGTGAAAGTAAGGGTAGCACTTTGGTGTAAGCAAAGTTATAGAGGTCTGCAATATTCAGTGGAGGACATCGTTAATAATCTTGATAGGATCAAAGCCTGATTGAGGTGATGGTGGCTGGTGTATTGCTGTAAGGGTGCAGGACTTTGTTCAATCTGTAATAGATTAGTTTGGTTTCTGTCTTGTTGTAAGGGTGCAGGATTCTTGGTGCTACTTGATGCTATCGTAGGGTGTTTGGCTGGTGTATTGGTTATAAGTTCTTGGGGGAGGAATTGGCAGATTTGGAAGCATGTATTAGTCTGATGCTAATTGCTATTTTGGGGAGTTTTGGTCTGATGCTATTTTGGGGAGTTTTGCTGGTGTATTGGTTTGATGCTAATTGCTGGTTTGCTGGTGCTACTAACTGCTCATTGCTAGTTTGTTGGTGTATTGGTCTGATGTTACATGGTCTGATGCTAAGTGCTGGTCTGCCGATGGAAGCAAAGGGAAGTGGGTGTATACTTGGTATTGGAGTTTTGTTGGAGTGTGCAAATCTTCTTGGTGGCCATGCTCAGGGCCGGCCCTGAGATTTGTGGGGCCTAAGGCGAACTATGAAAATAGGGCTCCTCTAATATATATTTTTTTTAATAAAGAATTTATTATTAAAATGATATGTATTCACAAATTTTTTATTTAAGTATACTTGTACATATAATCATTAAAATTATAAACTAAAATTTACTTTCATATATTAAGTGAACAATGTTGTATATTGTATGTATGGTTTGGGTTGGGCCCAAACACTTTATTTGTTTTTTTTATATATTTTTATTTTAATAAATATGGGGTTGTGTATAGTGTATGTATGGTTTGGATTGGGCCCAAATACTTTTTTTGTTTATGTTTTTTTTTTTTTTAATAAATATGGGCCCAACACATTTATACATTTATAAGGGCTAAATTTTACATGGGCCCAATAAAACATTCTGAGGCCTTTTAAATTGATCTTAAAACAAAAACAAAAACAAAAAAAAAAGGGGTTGGGCCTATAACAATTTATTAAATTTGGGGGCCCTTTTTTTGGGCCAAAATTGTGAGGCCTAAGGCACAAGCCAGGGCCGACCCTGGCCATGCTCAATGTTCTAAATTGATTTTTGTCTGGGCTACAGCCTGGTTGCCCTACTGGCCTGTTTGAGTGGAATTGCTACTGCATTGCCTCAGTATTGCCTCTATTGTGTTTTGCTTTGCTCTGCTGTGCCTCAATTTTGCTTTGCTTTGCCTTAATTTTGGTTTGCTGCTCTGCCTCAGATTCTGCTCTCATGGTTTCTGCTGTCAAATTCTGCTATCATGCCTCAGTTTATGCAACCTGGTTGCCTTACTGCCTTTTGCTAATTGGTACCTTGGTGCCTTGTTTTGTTTTCTCTTCTGTTCTGTAGGTCTCCTTGTTTTCTTTTCCTCTTTTGCTTTGTTGGTCTCTCACCAACTTTGGCTTGAGCTTGCATTTGTTAGGGACTCGCTCCTTGTGCCAACCTAGTTGCGATTTGGAGTGTTCTCTTTGATGCATTTCTCGTGCCTCATCTTTATTGATGTAATTGCATATTTTGTATGTTATCTTCATCAATAAAGTTCTTCTTTTGCTGATAAAGAAAAAATTATTTTACCAAATATCTCACATGGGTGATAAGTAATTGAATAAGTCTACTTAATTTACATGATATATACCTCTAAGAGTAATGTTAGGGATCCCAAATAGTTTACTAAATATTCTACCAAATGTCTCACATGGGTACCAAGTGAGTCCCACACCCATGTGAGACATTTGGTAAAATAGTTGGTAAAACATTTAGAGTCCCTACCATTTTTCTACCTCCAAAATCATCAAGAATTTTCATTACACCCAACCATGGCTATGGCTGTCTGCAACTTTTGGCAGTGGCACCCCCTCCATATTCCTCTTTGTTCTCTCTCCTCTTCTTCTTCTTCTTCTTCTTCTATTATGTGAACATCCTTTGCTACTTCCCTTTTCATGCAACTGCATTGAACTTCAACTAGATCAATATCAGTACCAGTCATGCCAATGTCATAAAAACTACTAGTGATGCTTCTATCTAAGACCAAGGCATCCAACGCACCACCAACACACCACGACAAGCCGGTTGAGCGATATATAGCGAACTTCTTCACCTTTTGGACAAAAAATTTGGAAACTAGATGGACTTGAACACGTATTTCTCGTTTGTCATTGATTCAGAAGGAAGCTACAATTATGGAGATGGGCTTGCGTTCTTCCTTGGTAATAGTGATTTGTCTGAACCTATTGAAGGTGGTGCCATGGGTCTTCCAATCAAAACTGGTTTAATCAGATCATTTGGTTCTTTTGTTGCTATGGAGTTTGATACCTATTTCGATGATTCGATTGACAGACAGTACCCCAGGACCTCATCTAGGTATCAATATCAACTCTCTCCAATCTACTGCTATTGAAATATGGAATTGTGATATAACACGGGGGATAGAATATGAAGCTTGGATTAGTTATAATTCTAGTTCGAAAAATCTGAGTGTTATTTTCACTGGTTTTTCAAATAATTCCAGAAGTGCCCTTAATTTATTGAATATGAATTTAAGCATGTATGTTTCAGAATACGTTACAATTGGCTTATTAGCTGCAACAGGATACTCTATTGAGAAACATACTATTAAATCATGGAAATTCAATTCGACTTTGCAAATCCCTGCAAAGAAGACAAGCAAGAAGGCACTAGTAGTGGGATTGACTGTTGGCTTAATGTTTTGGTTCGTGGGTTGGCACTACTTGGCTTTGTCTTGTGGAAGAAAAGAATACCACAAGAAGAAGATGAGGAGTTCACCCTTGATATGTCCATGGACAATGAATTTGAGGCTGGTATTGGGCCGAAGAAGTTTTCGTATGGTGAATTGTTTCATGCAACAAATAACTTCGCAGAGGATCAAAAGCTTGGAGAGGGAGGAATTGGTGGGGTTTATAGAGGCTTTTTTAGGGAATCCAATTCCTATGTTGTTGTGAAGAGGATATCAAACGGATCAAAACAGAGAAGAAAGGAGTACGCAGCAGAAGTGAAGATCATCAGTCGTTTGAGGCATAGAAATTTGGTGCAACTAGTTGGTTGGTGTCATAACAAAAGAGAACTCCTACTTGTTTCAGTTCATAGAAAATGGAAGCTTAGATTACCATCTATTCAAAAAAAAAAAAACCTTGTTGACATGGGTAAGAAGGTACAAGATCGCTCAAGGCTTGGCCTCAACATTGTTCTATCTACACGAAAAATGGGAACAGTGTGTAGTGCACAGGGATGTAAAATCAAGCAATGTCAAGTTGGATTCAAATTTCAATTCTAAACTTGGGGATTTTAGATTAGCTAGGCTTTTTGATCACAGAAAAGACTTTCAAATAATTATTTTGGCAGGAATCAGAATGTCTAATCATAAGCAAAGCAAACAAGGAATCAGATGTTTACAGTTTTGAAATTGTGACATTGGAAATAGTTTGTGAAAGAAAACCCATTGACCTGAATGTCCCAAAAAGTCAAACGAGAATGGTAGAGTGGGTTTGGGACCTCTATGGTACCGGTAGGCTTCTTGACGAGGCAATTGATCCAAAGATATGGCCATATGTTGTTCAAGAAGAAATGGAATGCTTGATGATGGTTGGGCTTTGGTGTGCCCACCCGGATCACAATCTCCGACCTTCAATTAAAAAAGCAATTCATGTGCTTAATTTTGAAGCTTCATTGCCCATTTTGCCAACAAAAATGCTTGTGGCAACATACATTACTCCTCTAGTGAATCCTCATTCTTTGGTTTCTTGTACCCATGGCTCTAATACTTTTTCTAATAGTGGTCGATTTTAGTCTTTTTGCTATACTAGTTACCACACAAATTTCTTTAAATTCACGTCATTCTCTATAGCTGCATCAACATTTTTCTTCTTGTAATGATTTGTGTTTCATAAGGGTGTAGATATCATCAAGTAATGAGACTTCAAATATCATACACCAGTAATTAGACTACAAAATTACATAAATGAGTTGTTCACTTGTTCCATTTATATTAAGCAAGATGGTATTACCGTTGCGATTCTACAGAAAAATTAAGATTTAGTGGCATTTTAAAAACTTCGGCATTGGCACAAAAACATCGTTAAAAATGAGATTTTTACAATAATTTTTACATTTCATTGAAGATGTGGCCGTCACCTTAGCTTTGCGTCGTTTTAAAAACGCCACTAATCATTTTCACTGACGTTTAAGTACACGCCGTTGGATACCTTCACCGACGTTTAGACAAACACTGCTATATACTTTATGCGACTTTCATTGATGTTTACAGAAACGCCACTATATGTTTGAAATATATTTGTTTTTAAATTTTATTTCTGCTGGTAGTTTTTAATATTTAATAATTTGAATCCCTTGCATGGATACCTGAACTACCCAAAATCTTTGGGGATGCAACAAAAAAAAAAGAAAAAGTCATGATAAATTTATGCATCTCTTTTGAAAACCATAGCAAGATATAAAACAAATTTATGAGTATAATTTACTCATAAGTTATATGACTAACAAATTATAATATAATTTTTTTCATTCATATATGATTAACAAATTATTGAAGAAAAAAAAGCTGAAGTGTTATGTGCATAGGCACAAGAATTTCTCAGCACTAAGACGAAAATGCATAATCAACATTTGATACACTGCAAACTAGTGGATATGCTCTTCTCCTGGTTTGAATTTTGGATACAACTCATGAAGCACGCTCTTGAGGTTTGATTTTTGTGTATTTTTTCGGGCCAAATTTTTTTTTTTTTTTTTGACTTTGCGTCTTCAAATCATCAATTTACCCTTTAAATTGAACATTAGTTCACTTTAGAGTTAGTTCTATATAGAGACAATAATTTGCTACAATTCATTGTACTTTGTATTGTATTATAATTAGTTGTGTTTTGTTTGTTACATGGAATTTGGTTGGATATTTCAATATTTGTGTCTTACAAAAGTCTATTGTCCCAGGAAAATATACTAGAAATTGTTCAGAATTCCTGACATAGGGTTCATATTTAAGCTTGTTGTTGTGGACCCCAGTATAAATAAATCCTAACATTAGATTGTAATTTCTGGGTGATTTTTTGGTCCGTAAACCTGCTCAAAAAATGTTAACTACATTGACTGTTTGGGATGAATAATTCTATGGACCAAGATGTATGGATCCCAAATTTACCCGCAATGAGAATGTGCAGTTGAGATTGAATTCGTGTAGTGTGAGATGCGTATGTAAATAAATCTAAACTACAAAACGATAATCCTAGGTAGTTTTTGAGCAGTTAAGTCTGAGTTCGTAATATTACTGATTTGGGATAAAGTGAACTAATTAGTTTAAAGAGTTAATTTTTCAAAGAATAATGCTACAATCCTAGAAATTTTACCCTAAAAAAATAACAATCTATGACTTAGATTCAATTCATACTTTAGTCTCACACTACACCAATTCAATCTCCATCACACAAACACACTTCACTTAGAAAAATCTGGGACAAGAAATCTGGGTCCATTGCATTTTTGTTGTTCAAATTGATAGTCAGGTGAGTGACACGAATGTGATAATTTTAGAGACAGAGTGGATTTGTTCGTGTGTAGCTATAATACATTCCCAATTCAATACACTTCTTACACAGATGAAGGAGAGGGGTTTGATCCCAAGTCTCCAAATAAGCGACTTTACTTGCTAAGCTCATTGTCACTTTCCTTATATGAGCCTTCTTTCCCTGCCCAATCTCTACATTGACTTGTGGCGTGTAGACTAAGGCGGATTGTCACTTTGCTCAAGTCCAACAAAATAATTTTTTGAAGACAATTTTGTACATTGAATCAAGCTCTCAACCCAATTGACACTCCAAACATAATTGAAAACTTCAACTTAGAATAGGAACCATGTGTTTTTTTGTTTGCGATTATGATTAAAAATAACTTTGAAACTGCAACCTCCTATTAAACTTTCGTGTTTTCCAAAAAATGAAAACATTAAACAGAAAGCGAAAACATATGTGACAATAAGAAGGCTTCTAATTATCCATAAAACACTACTCCTGGTTATGGCTGCCTATAACTCCAGAAATACTCATCTCTGTTCACCAGAGCAGCTTCTATTTTTTCTCTTCATGTTCTACATGTCCTTTCTGTCAGTTTTCTCATTTGTTTCTCCCTTGTCTTTCAACTTTGACAGCTTCAATCCAAATAACCATGAAATAAATTATGAGGGAGATGCATATCCTGCGGCTGGAGCCATTCAACTGACCTTAAACGAGCGTGACAAGGACATGAGCGGGAAGACAGGACGAGCCACCTATACAGAATCACTGCACCTTTGGGACAATGCCTCGGGAAATCTCGCTGACTTCACTACTCATTTCTCCTTCGTGATCTCTACGGCGAACATTTCAAGTGCAATCACCGGTGGTGATGGCCTTGCATTCTTCCTTGTTCCCAATGGTTCCCATATACCTCCAAACACTGAAGGTGGTGGTCTTGGCCTTGGTCACAGTCTTGCGAGCAACAACCAGACAACTAACTCAACAGGCCCTCCATTTGTTGCAGTTGAGTTTGATACATTTGCAAACCAATGGGACCCTGACATTGGCGCTCATATCGGTATCGACATCAACTCTGTAAGCTCGGTCGCAACTTTGCCTGCTAGTATTCATGCTGGGAAAAAAGTCGATTCTTGGATTAGTTATGATGCTAAATTAAATAATTTGAGTGTACTTTTCAAAGGTTACAAAGCTGAATTAGATGGTATTTACTACATAATTAATCTTAGAAAATACTTGCCAGAATGGGTTACTTTTGGCTTCTCAGCTACCACCGGAGCTTCAACTGAGATACATTCCATTTGTTCATGGTATTTCAATTCATGTTTACAGACTATTGGGTATGACAGAAACAATCATACTGATCCGATTGCAGCCATGGCAAAGCACACACCACTATCCCGAGTAGGAACTAACAAGATAGTAGAAGTTGTGGGATTGACTTTTGGTGCAACTGTTGTGATTTTCGGATTTGTTTTGTCATCAGTTTACTTATGGAAAACAAGAGTAAAGAGGGGAAAGGGGAATGGCGGAAATCATCCTGCCTTCAACGCAGCCTTGGACGATGAATTTGAGAAAGGAATGGGTTCTAAGAAGTTTCCTTATCATGAGTTGGTTCGCTCGACAAAGAACTTTACAGAGGAGGAGAAGCTTGGAGAAGGAGGGTTTGGTGGGGTGTACAGAGGCTTCTTGAGGGATTGGAACTCCTATGTCGCAATCAAGAGGATTTCGAGGGAGTCTAGACAAGGGATAAAGGAATATGCATCAGAAGTGAAGATCATTAGCCGATTGAGACATAGGAATTTGGTGCAACTGCTTGGCTGGTGCCATGACAAAGAACTACTACTTGTTTATGAGTTCATGCCAAATGGCAGCCTAGATTCCCTTCTCTTCAGGGAAGAAAATGTATTGTCATGGACTGTGAGGTACCAAATTGCTCAAGGCCTTGCCTCGGCTTTGCTGTATTTACATGAAGAATGGGAACAGTGCGTCATCCATAGAGATGTGAAATCGAGCAACGTTATGTTGGATTCGAGTTTTAATGCTAGGCTCGGAGATTTTGGTTTAGCCAGGCTTGTTGACCATGAAAAAGGACCGCAAACCACAGACTTGGCTGGGACTATGGGCTACATGGCTCCTGAATGTGTCACTTCAGGCAAAGCAAGTAGAGAATCGGATGTGTACAGCTTTGGGATTGTGGCTCTGGAAATAGCCTGTGGAAGAAAACCAATTGACCCAAATGCCAAAGAGAGTCAGATAGTGCTGGTGGAGTGGGTTTGGGAACTCTATGGAGTAGGACAGATTCTTGAAGCTGCAGATCCGAAACTATGTGCAGAATTCGATAATCGAGAGATGGGACGTTTGATGATCATCGGGCTGTGGTGTGCTCACCCGGATTTCAGTAAGCGGCCTTCCATAAGGCAAGCAATTCATGTCCTTACTTTTGAAGCACCAGTGCCCATTCTCCCATCGAAAATGCCTGTGCCAACATATTTTGCTCCTCCACTGAACATGCTTTCATCTTCATTTTAAGGGTTGAATCAGTATTATTTCAGTCGTCGATATTTCTAGACATTTGATAGCATACATGTTTACTTAATGTTTGTATGATCTCTGAGTAAAAGTGATTACTTTTTAAAACAATCTTCCTACTATATGCTCTATCAAAAAAAAAAAAAAATGGCCATCTACTGTGCTCATAAAAAATACATACAAATCAGAGTCTCAAATATATGCATGTTCAACCATTCATTTGCTGCTAAGTTAGTTCATCATTTGAAACTGAACATTGTTATGCAAAGAATGGAAAACAACCAGTTCACCAAAATCAGTATGAAGGAAAAATATACGGGTAATTATATTAGCTGATGCAAAAAGGGTTTGAATCGGATGCTTGAATTACAAGCCTCGTCTGGAAAACCCCCCGTCAATTGAGAAGTTTCTAGAGTTTCTCAATATTTATCCACACTCCAAATTCCTAGGCTTTCAAGATGGTAGCCTCAAGACAGATGAATAGAGAAATAAGTTATTATTTTTGGTGTGTCTACAGATTGTTAAATAGGAGCCTTTATATAGACATATATGGCAAACCATGAGTACCTCATGGTTAGGTTACACCATGTGTACTACATGTCCAAGACCACATGTCCCTCACAAGTTGGCCATGTGTGGATGGACCATGTATACCATGTGCCCTTAAAAATTAGGCCACACCATATGTACCATGAGGTCACACCATATGTATTTACCACATGGTTTCCAACACAGTAAAAAATAAATTATTAAAAACCATTGAACAGAACACTAATGTACACTAATTTATTGAGTTAAATGGAAGAGTAAAATGGACCAAAAAAACCAACAAAGATACAAGAACTAAACAGTAAAAGGAAACCAACCCATCAAACCCACGAGCCAAAACTGCAAATTCGGGTAAAAACTGGGGTAAATCTATAAATAAAGCTTTTAATTTGTATAAGTGAACACAAAGCAAACATTTAAAAATAAAATAAAATCTCAATTAGACAACAAAAGAGGACAAACCCGTCAAAAGATTACACTTAGCATCCTTGTACTTTTATGATAATATCATTTTAGTTCTTTCATTTTTAATTATTACAGTCGATCCCTTAAACTTTATGTCAAGTTACAATGTCACCATTCTTTCCATTTATCATCACTAAAGTGAAATTTTAACAAAAGTGACTAAAATGAGATTTTGAAAAAGTTTAAGGGTGCTAATTAGACCAAAACAATGTCACTTTGATAAACTTTTTGTAATCTAATTTAAATTTGCTCAACCTTAACTTTAAGAAATTTCTCTCTCTAAAGAAAATTGTGACTAGTATAATCAATAATATTTTATAAATAATCCATACATTTGACAAATAACCATTTATTACTTTTAAATAATTCACCAATTCAATTATTTTTAATAAAATTTTAATTTTAAACTACTAATATTATAATATAATATTTGATTCACTAAAATTGAATGAAACGAAATAGTTATTCATTAAACTCTTTATAAAATAACTATTCATATTCAATGATAATTTTATTTGTAATATAATTTTTAATAAATTTTTTGGTGAACCAAGTGTGGGAATATAAATTATGATGAAATTATTATGTCATTCTAATAAATCAAACATAATATAAGAGTTAAAATTATCTAAGGAACCTATTTTTAAAAAGAATTCGAGAGTCCAAGGCCCCGCCTTACTGGCCTTTCCTAATGCCGGCCTTGCACCAAACTTAATTAATTGCAACATTTCGTTTTCAAATGTCACATGAGAAGGACCCCAAATGAATAATATAAAAAATAAATAAAAAAATTACCAAGCAACGTTTTCTATTTTTTGTGATTAAAAAGAACACAGGCAATGAAAAGAAAATTATATCTATGAAACAGTTCACAAAAAGACTGATTCAACCAAAAAAAAAAACTGATTCAACAGAGTTGCAAGACTTGTGTTCCAAAATAAAATAAAAAAACCAAGTTGCAAGACTCTGGTACAAAAGATGATCTATAGTTATTTACTAATTTATATGTCAAACTCACTCACCAAAAACTAATTTTCCTCAACCAACCATGGCCATGGCTGTTTGCAACTCGTGGAACCCCCTCCGATCACAAAATTTACTTTGTTCTCTCTTTTTTTTCTTCTTCTACGCAATCATCTGTTACCTACTTCCTTGTAGTAAACCCTCTTCATGCAACTGCACTGAGCTTCAACTTGACTAATATTGGTCCGCAACTAAATGCAGAGATAGTTGCAGAAGGAGATGCTTATGTCTCACCTGAAGGCATCCAACTCACCCCAAATGAGATGAACACGAGCCAGAGCCACGCAGCTGGTTAAGCCACATACAAAGATCCTCTTTTCCTCTGGGACAACACTTCTGGAAAACTCACGGACTTCAACACCTATTTCTCGTTTGTCATTGATTCAAAGGGAAGCAATGTTTATGGAGATGGGATCACATTCTTCCTTGTTCCTAAGGTGTAGGTATCAATATCAACTCTATCATATCTAACGATACTGCAGTATGGTACAGTAACATACCGTCTGGGATAGAAAATGAAGCTTGGATTAATTATGATTTTAGTTCAAAAAATTTGAGTGTTGTTTTCACTAATTCAATAAATAATATGACAGTTGAAAGGAACCTTAGTTTCCTGGTTGATCTAAGGGAATACTTACCAGAATCGGTTGCAATTGGCTTATCAGATTCAACAGGAATGAATTTTGAGAAAAATACTGTGAAATCATGGACTTTAAATTCAACTTTGCAAATTGATGTGCCAGTAAAACCAGGTCCCAGTCCAGGACCCAACACAGCCATCCCAAGCCCTCCAAAGATGGGTGAAAACAACAAAAAGGCACTGGTTGTGGGATTGACCGCTGTCTCACCTGTTTTGATTGGTGGGTTGGCTTTGCTTGGCTTTGTCTTGTGGAAAAAAAGTAGTAGAGTAAAAGAAGAAGATGGAGATGAGTTTGCTATTGAACTATCCATGGACAACAAATTTGAGGCAGGTATCGGACCAAAGAAATTTACGTATGGTGAATTGTTTCATGCAATTAATAACTTCGCAAAGGAACATATGGAGAGGGAGGATTTGGTGGGGTATATAGAGGTTTCTCAAGGGAATCCAATTCCTATGTTGCTATGAAGAGGATATCAAAGGGATCAAAACAAGGAATAAAAGAGTATGCATCAGAAGTGAAGATCATTAGTCGATTGAGGCATAGAAATTTAGTGCAACTAATTGGTTGGTGTCATGACAAAAGAGAACTCTTACTTGTTTGAGTTCATGGAAAATAGAAGCTTAGATTACCATCTCTTCAAAGAAAACGCCTTGTTGACATGGGTCATAAGGTACAAAATTGCTCAAGGATTGGTCTTGGCTTGCTCTATCTGCACGAAGAATGGGAACAATGTGTGGTGTACAAGGATGTAAAATCAAGTAATGTTATGTTGGATACAAATTTCAATGCTAAACTTGGGGATTTTGGGTTAGCCAGACTTCTTGACCACAAAAGGGTCACAAAAGACTGTTTTGGCAGGGACCATGGGCTATACGGCACCCGGATGCTTAATTACGGGCAAAGCTAATAAGGAATTAGATGTCTACAGTTTTGGAATTGTGGCATTGGAGATAGCTTGTGGAAGAAAACCTATTGACCTAAAGGCTAAAGAAAGTAAGATAAGAATAGTGGACTGGGTTTGGGACCTACACGGTACTGGTAGGCTTCTTGAAGCAGTGGTGGATTCAAAGATATGCCCAGATTTTGTTCAAAAAGAAATGGAATGCTTGATGATTGTTGGGCTCTGGTGTGCTCACCCGGATCACAATCTCCGGCCTTCAATTAGGAAAGCCATTCATGTGCTTAATTTTGAAGCTCCATTGCCCATTCTCCCAATTAAAATGCACGTGGCAACATATTTTGCTCCTATGAATACTTCTTCGTCTTTGGTTTCTTTAACCTACGGCTCTACTACTGTTTCTAATAGCAGCCAAGGTCATTCTTCAAGCTATACTTACGACACAGATTTCTCCAAGTACACCTCATCCTCTGCAACTTCTTCATCTGCATCATCTAGTATACAAAAGTAAGTTGATATAGAAAGTATCTAGTCCAATATTTAATGTATTTGAGCATAGTAAAATCATAGTTATAGATATTGATTTCATTGTTTTTACTCTTTGTGCAATTTATAATTTGTATTGGTACCAATGTATCCACCAAATATAGATATGTTCGTTCATTATCATGGAATGTTAAATATACTTAGAAAGTAATATAATGCTTTATATAATAAAAATAATGTGTTTGTCAAAATTATGTAGATAAGTCATAGAAGTTAAATATAATTGAGAGGTTATATAACATTAGCCACAAGAAGTACATTCATCAAATTATGCTTCCAGACAAATATTGTAGCATAGGGTGAAATTTATAAGGCTGAGACAATGAATTAAATCCATGAAAAAACTATAAAAAATAAAAATAAAAATAAAAATAAACAAATCAATTTATCACAAACTGCTAATTAAGTGGAATATTACAAACTAACTTGTAGTTTAGCCAAATGGGAATCTAATGGTAATGGGAAAGGGATCTTTAATATCAATCACCATAAATCCCACACTCAAATCTCTTTGATCCACAACAACTATGTATAACTCATCATGAGAATTTCTTTTAATCCAACTAGCTACTGTTATGTATGGTAACATTCATTTATTAAATTTCATTGAAATTCACTTTAAGAGTCCTCTTTATATCATTACATGAATGCAACCACTAAAATTTTGGCGTAGGCATTTGATAATGTTTGTAATGTTTCTATGATCTCAAATAAAAATGAATAATCTTTAAAGCATGGAAATTGGAATACCTTCCTATTATTGATTGACGCTATACAAGTATCTATATGCTTTTTAAAAAATGGCCATCTACAGATTGGCCATACATCCCTAAGTTTTTGTTCATAAAAAAAAGAAAAAAAAAGAAGAGATACAA